GATGTTGCCCGATCGGAGTTTGTCCAAGGACATGAGGTTGGTGCATGATCAAAGGGGGGTTAACAGCCATTCCCACAAGGACTGGCACCCTCCGGCATTGCAGCCGACCCACGCGCAAATCGTCAGGAGGGTCTTGTGGGCTCAGGCCAGGTACCCGGGCTTGCCGGTACTTTTGGCCAAGAAGGACATCGCGGGGGCGTTCAGGCTCTTGTGGGTGAACCCCAAGGACGCGGAGCTGTTCGCTGGGGATCTTCCATGGCGACCAGAGGCGATGGAGAAGGAGGATGAGGCGGACATTGAGGCGGTCGGGGCCCCCATGACGGCCATCTTCCTGGTGAGCAGCTTCGGTTTCAACGGGGCCCCTGGCGAGTGGACAGTCTTTGGAAGGGCCACCGAGGAGTGGCACAGGGCGCACCGCCCAAAGGAGACACGGCGGGATGGCGAGGTCGGCTTCGACTCGAAGATCCTGGTTGACGACAACGTCTTGGTAGAGCCGTGGCTGGGTCTACGACCGTGGGTCTCGGCGGAGTGCTATGAGGAAGGGGTGCGCCTGCTGCTGGGCGACGGCGCCATCAACGTCGAGAAGGATGCCATGGAGGGCTTCTTTGCGGAGGAACAGTGCGTGTGGGGCCTCACCATAAACACCAAGATTGGCAAGGCCTTCCTCCCAGAGCGAAGAATTCAGAAAGGAGCCCACTTGCTCGCGGACGTGGCGTTCGACCCGGGTCAGCAGATCGTGACTCTCAAGCAGACGCAACAGTTCCGAGGGGTGATGACCGGCTGGGGCGTGGTGGTACCGGCACTACGAAATGAGCTCAAGGCGGCGGACCTCACAGATGGTTCAAAGGAGGTGAAGCCGAAACTACGTGGCTATGGCGAGGAAACCACAGAGGAGCTTCGATGCTGGGAGGACCTGTGGGACCTGTTCACGGTATGCAGGTGGTTGGCATCCAGGACGGAGACCTGGGCGCTCAAGTTTGGAGCTGATCTACCTGAGCTGCTGAGGCCGAGGGAGAGGTTGAGTCTGCCAGGGGCTTGGGAAGGAGTGGTGTATGTCACTCCGGATGCCACCCCACAAATTATCGGGGCCGTGGACTGGACCTTTGGCTTGGCGGCCCGCAGCACGATGGAGGAGCTCAGACCATGGTTGGCTGGTGTGCTGGAAGGAGAGGATGAAGCAGGTGAGGGGGCGCGTATCCACCTCGCAGAGATGCTGTCTTTGGTGGCTTTCCTATGCGAACGAGCTCAAGAGTGGCAAGGTCGCTTGGTGCTCTATGGAGGGGATAACATCGTGGTGCGGCGATGGGTTGAGATGAGGCAGAGCGCTTCGAGGGCAGGACGGCTCTTAATCCGGGTGCTCAATGCGTGTGAAATGAGGTACCGCTTCCAGCTGGTGGCGGGATGGTGGCGCACCTACCACAACGAGACCGCGGATATGATCACCCGCTCGGAGGAGGAGAAGTTCGAGGAGTTCCTCATGCAGAGGGGATGGAAGAGGGTCCCTCTGGGCCCACAGATTCAGCAAGGGGTGCTGGATACGCAGCGCTTCGGCGCCTGCTTTCTCCCTTGGAAGGACGAGGAGGATCGCCGCACTATGATGCAGTTGATGGAGCTACGGGCCAAGCGACAACTACCTAACTCGGTCGAGATCCCTTGGACGCGCATCAAGGTCCTGGAGGTGTCCCCTAAAGACAGGGAAGTCAGGGATTTCGAGGCGGTGGCATTGACGAGTGGGGCAGTAGTTGACCCTGAATCGGAAGCAGCCTTCACCATTGTGGCGGCAACGATGGGAGTGGATGCTAAGGGGCAGCTGGCAGAAAGGGTCAGACAGTGTGGAATGATGGCTGATTTGATCCTCCTCGAAGGCCCTCTGGTGTCGAGTTGGGAGGTCTTCAACAACGCGGAGCTCTTCGACCAGTGGGGCAAATGGGAGATGGAGTTCGTGACCACGGAGTTGGGGGAGGCGACAGCAAGGAGGAGACGCATGATGATCATGATGAAAGGGGCGGAAGATGCTTGTCTCCAGGTCGTCGAGGACTACCTGATCAAGACCCCAGTCGCGAGCCCGATGGCCTCGTGCATCAAGCCAGCGGGCGCGGAGGGCCTGACATGGGAGTTTCCTATGAGGCTGCAGATCTGTCCAGGCATACCTCGGGACCCCTTGCTACCAGCACTGGTGGCGCATGGCTGGTGGGCGGAGGAGAGTGAGCGTGTGAACATCTATGGGTTGGGTGGTCCGGCCAGATGGCCGCTCATGGACAAGACCAACGGCCAGATGGAGCGCATCTTCGTCTATGACCTCAAAGGCCCGGTAGGGGCGGTGCGAGCCCTCACCCCGTGGGAGCTCTGGAGGTGCCAGGGTCGGGATTCAACTTCGTGGGCCCAGGCGCGGGACAATGGCGTGGGAGAAGAGGATTTGCTGCGGCAGGGCTGCCGAGGCACCGGGAGAAGGACAGCACAGTCTTTGCTTTTCGCGGCAGCCAAGGTGGTGACCGAACATGTGAGGGAGCAATCAGCGGATGAGGGACGAGCTGGGGCGGTTCGTGACGGTCCAGAGGACGAGTCCTTGGCAAAGCTCCTTTTGTGGTTGAGGAAGTGGAGAACCGGGGAGTTTGGCCGTGGTCTGATATCGCGCAGGGCAGGCGGAGTTGGAGCCGAGACGCTGGCAGGGATGAAGGAGAACGCTCAGGTCGTTTGGCGCTGGGGAGAGTCCCTTTGGTTGGAGGCTTTGGAGGAGCTGGAGGAGTTCGCTGGGAGATCGGCGAGCTGGCGGGCGTCGAAGCTCAAAGAAGGTGGAGCAATGTTTGGGCAACAGCCACCTCGATGACTCGGGCGAAAGGAGACTACCTTTCGACGGCTCGGTGGGTGTGAGAGTAGAGGAGTGGATCGAGGAGAACATGGACGGGGACAAGGCCTACAGCACCAAGAAAGTCTACCAGAGCGCTTGGCATAAGTGGGAAACCTGGGCGCGACGCCAAGGTTGGCCAACCCCGTACTTGGACCCCAAGGCGGACAAGCTCGACTCGGAGAACCGGTTGCTGGGCTTCCTTGGCTATCTGGGCTGGCTGGGGTGCTCGGCGGCAACTTTGAAACAATGTCTGTTCGCCATCAAGGATCGCCACAAGCGGATGGGCGCAGGAGACCCGACTCTGGGAATGTTCAGGGTGTGGCTTCTGGTGAACTCCGTGGACCGTTTGGGTCCCAAGAAGCCCCGGCGGTTGGGTGTGACCCCCGGGATGATGAAATGGATCAACAAGACCTTCGATGGCAAGAACGAGGACCGGAATGAGGCGGGCTTCGACCAGGCAGTGCTGTGCGCGGCTTTGACTACAGCCTGGTTCTTCATGCTCCGCGCCAAGGAATTCTGTGACTCGTCCGGAGTGGATCGAGAGATGGTGGTCCGGGGAGCTGACGTCATGCTGACCTATGAAGGTGAACCGGCGGCTCAGGGCCAGGCAAATGAGATCACCCTGCAATTCCGCAAGACGAAGGCTGATCAAGAAGCTTTCGGTTCGTGCAAGACCTACAAGGCCACCGACGTGGAGGGATTATGCCCTGTGAAGTCCATGGAGAGGCTACGCCACTTCGCCCCAAGACGCTTTGATGACGGACCGGAAGCCCTGGAACCGCTCTTTCGGTGGGCGAATGGGGTCACCTTGAAGCGCACGGAGGTCCAGGTGGTGCTCAAGAAGGCAGCGCGAGCTTTGGGGTTGCCCGAGGACCGCATGATGCCCCATTCGCTAAGAGTGGGGGGGGCCAGTGCGCTTTTTCAAGCGTCTGGCGAGATAGAATTGGTGAAGAGACATGGAAGATGGTCTTCTTCTGCCGTGCAAAGATATCTATATGACGGAGGAGATGTCTTGAAGGAGATGGCGAACCGCATGGCGAAGGTCGACCAAAGGGTTCACTTCACCTAGCGAAGGGAGAACTTTTTGCATGCCCCCTTCGGTTACATGAGTGGAAGCAGAAGCACAACTGAAGGGCCGTGAATTTGTTGTGAGTTTGGTGGGGCTGGATTGGCTAAATGCCATGAAGTCCGGCCGAACGAAGCCACT